GGGTCTGATGGGTATCCTCTGAACTGGAAGGAAGTTTTTCCTCGCCTAGTGCTTGCTCATGGTGGGAATTGTTGGGTTTCTGTAATTAACTTCAGAGTAGGATCTGACCTGCTCTGTTTGGAAAGCGCTGTGAGACAACCGTTGTTGTGATGTGGCGCTATATAAATAAAATTGAATTGAATTGAATTGCTCCAGCTGGTCTAAAATAAGGAGCCAGCTGACTGGATGGTGTGTTAAACCCTCCTGACTGAAGCCTTCCGGGGGGGGGGGGGGGGCTAAACTCCTGTTCCTCCTCCGGCCGGTTCGGGGCGTGACTGGTGGTGAGGGCCCGACTATACGAGGCTCCTCTGTTTCCCACAGAGACGCTCAGAGCACGGACGGTAGGGAAATGACTAATGGAGCCGTCACACGGGCTCCATCAGCCCATGAACGGACAACAGACTTCCCCTATCTGAGGAATGGTCAGACGGGCAAATGGCAGCCAATCAGAGGCAGAGGCTGCACAGTCCGAGTCTGATGAGGAGCCGAGTCACTTTTAAACTCATTGTACCACCATATTTAACCCGAGTTTTTATTAAGAACCCTCAAACTCGGGGAAATCCAGCGCGTGGGCACCTAAAAGGCGTCGCCGGGTGCTGATTGGCTGAAGGAAAAACCCTAAAACGGCCCACTGACTCAGATGAGCTTCGCTTTGGGCCGTTTTCAGGCCTCGCCAGAGGATCTGAGGACACGTGACTAAAGACTAATGCTCATGAGAGAAGGCTGAGGGAGGTGTGCAGCGCCCCGGGGTATGCTGGGTAATGTAGGCGCCTGGTGAGGAGCAGAGGAGGCGGCGGGCTCACCCCGCTGTGGACGAACTTCTCCCCCAGCAGGCTGCTCATCACGTTGGAGGTGAAGTCCACGATGCTCTGGATCTGCCTGAAGGCCTGCTCAGCCGTCTACACACACACACACACACACACAGACACACACACACAAACACACACACACACACACACAAACACACAAAAGCATCAGAGGGTGCTGCCTGTGGAATCTAAGCTCTGGTTGCATGTTAAACTCTCCTTTAGCATGGTGCTCTCAAGCTAAGCTAACACTGGAACTAGAACTTAAGGTCAAAGCCTCTTTTTGGAAGCTGCTTTTGACTAAAAATGGTTTTATTAGCTAAATGCACAACCTACACAGGAATCTAACCCCCTATCCCATTGCCACAGAACAAGTAAAATAACCAATTTGAATAATAACCAAAGAACAATAGCAGGTAAGAACAATCCAGACAGCGGGGCAGCGATGTGCCCAGAGTGAGGAGACGGTTAGTTGAGCAGAAGTGAAAACAGGAAGGCTGAAATAAACCCTGTGATCGGGTCTCTGGGCCGCAGCACCGTTTGACTGGATGAAGAAGCTGGACTCGGTCTGGTTAAGCCGGCGTACACTCTGCGGTATTTCCAATTGTAGCTCGTAGCTCAAACTGCACCACCACATCGTAGCGGTCAAAGGTCACAGCTCAAGATTTCTATTCTCACTATACGACCCGATACGAGATCTGACCTCACATCGTACGTCCAAAAACGCACGTCAGAGTTTAAACAGAAGACGAAGTAGAACAACACAAAGGAACTTGAGGGTCACAGGAGCTAAAAGCTGCTCATTTTGTGAGCCGAAAGCTTGAAAAAGAACAGAAATGGATGAGCAGACGTGGCCAATGTGGCCGCTCAGCTTTACGGCCTGAACCAGAGGGAGGCAGCACCAACTCCCACAGAACTTCCTGATACCCCTGATGCTCAGAGCCAGAGATGGAGGGGAGTCGGGTCCTAACGTGGCTTCAATAACACAATTCCCTCAAACTCAGACCGGTTTGGTTTTCCTCCGACCAGACAGTGTGGATCTGGAGGTGGAGACGGGTTAATGGCTGCTGGTTACTCTGAGTGTACAACACCATGTGAGACACCAGGAACTCCCGATCCAAGAGATGCTCGTACGAGTAAAAAATCCTGTCAAAAAAGGGCTCACGGCGCGTTTGTCTGAGCAGCCGGAGGCCGGTGAAACACTCAACACTCGAGCCAGACTTAAAATCCTGAGAGAATTCCTATAAACTGTGATCTTTAGTATCAAAGTGAGCGTTAAGAAGTATCCTTCCATTATCAATACCGCTTATTCCCTGATGGGGTCGCAGGGGGAACTGGAGCCTATCCCAGTGGTCAACGGGCGAGAGGCAGGGTACACCCTGGACAGTCCGCCAGTCCATCACAGGGACACACAGAGACACACAAGGACCAACAACCACTCACACTCACATTCACTCCTAAGGGCAATTTCCCCAATCTCCAATCAGCCTAACATGCAAACTCCACCCAGAAAGGTCCTGGTTCCCCCAGGATTCGAACCCAGAACCCTTTGGTTGGGAGGCGACAGTGCTAACCACCACACCACCGTGCCGCCCTGCGTTAAGAAGTAGTCAGAGAGAATTAAAACCTCTGGCACTCTTTGAGTTTGACTCTCAGGGGCGGGCGGGGCCGCGCCTGCTGCCGGTTGGAAACCGACCCCATGCAAAGCCGTATGGAAATGCGGCGGTCGGATTGGGGCGGGCGGATTCGGGGAGGCCGGCGTCCCCAGAGCAGAACCGGCTTTAAAAGCCTCGGCTGTAGGGTTGTCAAAAGTATCGAAACTAAAAGGTTGTATCCGGATACGATACTCATTTTCAAAAGTAACACTGAATTCAACTCTATACATAATATTATGTTAAAATAGTGGATTTTAAATAGATTTTTGCAATAAGTCTAAACAACAAAATATTTATTTCTCACAACTATGAAGGCTGGAGGGTTAGGGTAGGGGTTAGGGTTAGGGTCAGGGTTAGGGTCATTAATGCGGGTCATCGGCCACCATAACATCAGTAATAGGTCAGTTTGAAACACACTAACCTGCCAAAATTAATCAATTTTCTTACATTTTGGGGTCTTTGTTTTTATCCTTGTGGTATCTAAAATGGTATCGAGTGTTGAATATTTTCCTGAGTATCGGTATCGAGTTGAAAATTTTAGTATCGGTACAACCCTAGT